GGGGGGGGGGGGGGGGGGGGTTCTGTGGCATGGTTCAGCAACAAAAAAATGGACGATCATCGACAGAAAAATTTCCTTTTCCCGAATCACGAAAATGAGCAAGTAAGATACTCTTTTTAATAACCTGTCCTTACACTAGAAAGAGTGTTGAAAGTAAAATTGCAAAAGGCTTAGTCAAGGTTCCATATTGCAAATTGCCTACCTAAGTAACTCTCAAAAGACGAGTCTAACCATTCAGAGGACTTACGTCTCAAAATCACGTAGAATAGAGTGGTAAAATCATGATTATCGACTAATAATGTCGAACTAGAATTATTCTAGTTCTTCATGGGTCACACGAAACCTTCAGGTCACAGATCATGAAGAATAATTACCTAAATTCATGTTTCATGGAAAATAAAATCAGCTAATCACGTATTATGTGAATACCCCTGTATGACCCTCCTTGAAGACTGGACTTGCATATGATCGAGTTGTCTGTCTTGAGCCCATGGCCAATTCATTAACTCATCCTGTTGTCCAGAATGATAGTTAATGAATTTCAGAGAGCGTAATAATTTCTTTTGGCTGTGTGGTAAAACAAAACAGTTAATTACAAACCTCATGGAAAGAAGTCTGCTGTGTTCTCTTTTAACCCTTAGAGGCCATCAAGAATAAATTTCTCTTTTGAGATAATTGACATAGGAGATACTTAATAGATGAGGCATGAATTAAAGGCTGGGATTAATACAGGTTTTTTGAAATACAGGTTTTGTGCTTTGATGCTTACTTCCAAGAAGCTGTGCATGAGAAACGTGAGGAGCAATATAGGATAAGGAGGTATGTTATCTTAAGATGTGAAACCCAGTCCTTGGCTAGAGAAAATTAGGAGGCAAGAGTCCACTATTAAAAAAACCTCTGGTGCCTTTTCTGATATCAATGGAACATTTCGAATTGCACTGGAGAGATTTGAAGCTTTGAAGTTGCTCAGTTTCAGGGAATTCTACAATATATTTCTGTGCAGCAGGCAGGATTACATGTACATGCATAATGTTGAGGAATATTAAAGTAGAGAAGTGACCAAACACCTTTGAGATATTGAGAGATTCTATCAGGATCATCTACATGGATATGTTGCTGAACACCGGAGTATAATCAGTGGCCAATTAATCTTACTATTTGATTGGATTTCCTTACTTTAGATGCAAAATATACTTTTATTTGGAGGATGATAGCATTCAGGTGATTGAGCCCAAAGTTGAAAATAGTGGAATTCCTCAAGGTATGTTTAAAGCAGGGCTGTAGCCTTGATCTTCATACCTGTAGCAAACGTGTTACTTTATAGGCGTATTGTATCAACTACAGGCTAGTTCACCCATAACATCAAGGGTACATCAAACATACTCAGCCGTAACAGGTGTTACAGGTTACGGCTCTTATTGACAGCCCTGTAAATCGTGCATTATTTTGCAAGCATCAGCATGAACACTACATGCAGGCTCAAGCTAGATCAAGTTGTGTCTTGAGACTCTCGACTACAAATTTGCATGTGTATCATACTGCCCAAAAATATGGTGGAAGCGTGAAGTGCTTTCTTCAGTTGTGTTGGGCCATAAAATACTCATCCACTCCTGCAGAGGCTTTTTTAGTTTTGACTCCCCCCTCCCCCCACCGCTCTTGAAATGTTTAAGTAATTTTATGTAAAAAGTGTTGTTTTTCGACACACCCCTTCCTCAGCACTTCTCCTCTGGAGATTGGCAAGGATAGATGTGGCATATCAAAGCACTTATTAACTGGCCCTTAAGGATATAGTGACTTGAAGTTGTTTTCTGAGACCTTGATATTACCCAAGGCAGTAGCCATGCAGTGTTTATCCAGTCATTCACATATCTAACCTTGAATAATAAGCTAGACATGTCTTACAAATCGTGTTGGTATTTACTAACAGGAACTCTGATTCGCCGTCATCGCATTCCACTTCCTCCACCCAATGACGAAGAATTTTACACTGTGGAGAACTTTAATGTTGGTCAAGAAATCATGCTGTACTCACGCACCTTTAAAATCACTGTAAGTAATATTTAATATTTCCAGTATAAGAAGTACTTGTATCTGAAGACTTGTACAAAATAGTGGAAAATTTTATGGAGTTTCTTTTCCTGTGAATTTGATGTAAGAATTATTAACAAGTTTGTTTACATTTTGACAGGGATGTGATGATTTCACTCACAATTTCCTCCGTAAACTTGGAGTCAGAATCAATAACCCAGAAAACATTCCAGGAGATCCATACACCGATCACCGCAAAAAGGTGTTAACTTTTAATCTAATTTTAAAATGTTCTTTCCCTGATGTTCAATGTTTTTCGAAAGACTTGTGTTTATTTTTTTAAAACAACTCCTGCACTTTTTGTGTCACCTCAGCCATCAGATACTGATAGTGTTTTAATGTGACATTTTACATTTTATTTTCTAGTTGGTGGAGAGTATGCAGCCTTTGCGACCATACGAAAAGGAAGACACCCTTAAGCAGTTTCTGCAGTTTGATCGTAATGTACTGCGATTCTTCTGTGTCTGGGATGACTGTGACAGGTTAGTGAATTATTGAATCAGCTGTCAGATTCTATCTTATTTCATTTATTGCATGTTATTTTAATGAACATAGAGTGCAATTCTAAAACAATAAAATTGTTATTTCTATGTTTATTCTTGAACTTGTCTTCTCTCTGTTTAGTATGTTTGGTGATGCTCGTGAAATGGAGTTACATTATTTCCTTGCTGATGATACTGTGGAGATCTGTGAACGCATTCCTAACAATAGTGGTAGAGATGCAGTACCTATGTTTCTGCGACGGCAACGACTACCAAAGGTATAATTTAACTGCCCTTTGCTTGGATATCTTTAATAGAATTTAGCTTGTTGATTGAGTGAAAGGTTTGTTGGATTAAGAGATAAAACAAACTTTGTTATTCTTTTGTTTTAGGAACCTACATCACTGCGACAACCAGGAGAGATTACTGGCAGAACAGTGTTAAATGTGTTTGGACCCATGGGACATGGAGGGAGATGGATTCTTGATAGCTTGAAGGTAATTTAATAAGATAATAATAAAAATTATGTATTATAATAATAGACCAATTTCGATATATTAAAATTCAGCCTAAAACAATAGACCTCAACACGAGGCTCCGGGGAATAAACCCCACAAACTCTGTATTTATTCCCCGGAGCCTCGTGCAGAGGTCTATTGTTTTAGGCTGAATTTTAATATATTGAAATTGGTCTATTACAAATGAAAAATAGAGAAATAAATACAAGTTTATTGTGTGACTCAAAATGGAATGTACAAAGACACAATTTCAATTTTGTAAGGAATGTTTTATTGAGAACTGATAAATTTCTGTATTTTGTTATTTTTCAGACTGGTGCAGTCCATACAGATTATTATCATGACAGTGACCTCACTCTAGGCACTGTTCTCAATGTGTGGGGCCGCAAATTCCGTATCTGTGACTGTGACGAGTTTACAAAGGAGTATTACAAGTCAAAATATGGGCTTCGTAAGTTATCCTGCTCGTTCATTGTATTTGAAAATTTGCTGTTAGTTGCTGGGGTAAATATCAAAATTTATCAAACTTTTGAGGAGGTCTAAATTGGTGCTTCTTGACACATATATAAGTATTTACAACTGCTGGCTCGTTTATTTTCCCACAGAGGAATTTGAAAATATCAAATACAAAGCAGACCCGCTGCCCCTGCCGGCACGTGAGATCCCCCCATACAATGGATTTGGCTCTGAGGAAGACTCACTTGCCACATGTCTCAGTCTCAGACCCAAGCCTACTCGAAGGGATTTCAAGAAGTTTATGGAAAAAGACAGGTGGGAATAAACTAATGCCATCAGCCAAATTGAAATAAAGTAACATTGCGACTTAAATTACAGAGAGGCCGAAAGTAGAATTTGCTGTCTATCTTTGTGACAGCATCTGGAAGAAAGAAATAATAGACCTTTCCCGCATTTCACATCAGTGCGTTTGAATAATGGCACCAGAGCGAGGTTGGGGTGGACATTTTCATACATTTGCTGTATTTTTGTCCACCCTGACCTCGACTTGGTGCCATTGTTTGTTGGAATACAGGAATGGTCTATTACCCCACAAAGTCTTTTATGTCTGAGTCAGAACTGGTGGTTTTGCCCCACTGCAGTTGATTCTATTTTGATTCAGCCAAAGTCTAACTGTCGAACTTGACCCAAGGAAATTACTCCTCACATTTCTAGAGCTTTGATGTCAAAAATTTTAGTGTTGATCTCAAATATAAATAACTTTGCGGAGTTCTTGTCACTGTTTATCTGTTGTCAACTCGGTTTGACCATACTAACTGATTTGTTATCTCTTGTAGACACGGTCTTGAGAGCAATGTTCTTCGGTTTGTTGCCCGTCTGGACACAACACGGCCCATTGATATGGATAGAAGGTGAGTTAACACAAACACAGTGATGTAGTGAAGACATGATTGATTATTGCAGTTACACACACAACTTAAGCAGTTGTGAAATTAAAGCCTGGAAAAAAATTGAGGCCTGAACAGGATTTGAACCCATGACCTCTGTGATACCGGTGCAGTGCTCTACCGACTGAGCTGTCAAGCCATCTGGGAGCTGGTAACTTTGTGAGTTCGTAATTCAGTGTGTTATAGCTTGTTATGAACTCATACAGCAACATTCAATTGCAAAACCTAAAAAAGAACATCTTTTAACGATTACCTAGGGCTAAAAAAAACTTGACTTCAAGCTTGTCTTTGGATAAGCAGCCCCCAGATTTTGCTTGCCTTGGGCAAGTCTTATTTTATCTTTTTTAGCTGGCAGAAGATGTGCCTGGCCCCTCGCCCATAAAGCAAGTTAGAATGAAATGTTACTTGCCTGGCTGGAAAATATGACCAGATGGCACTTTTTCTGAGCTCTGTTACCTGGGCCTAGATAGAAAACGTAATGCAATGAGAAAGTTTTATAGAGAGGTTGCATAATTATTATGAAAAAGTTAGATTCCATGTGGTGGGTTTTTATTACAAAGTAAATATGTGATAATTTGATCCAAGGAACAACGAGACTACATCTTGTTTTACAGATTCATCATCTCTTACTTCCTCTCTGATGACACTGTTCTTGTGTTTGAACCACCCCAGAGGAACTCTGGGATATTGGGCGGCAAGTTTTTGGAACGAGGACGTATCAAGAAACCTGATGACATTAATTATTTTATCGCTCAAGTAAGAAATATTACCTTTGATGTGTCGTGACAATGAGACTTCTTTATGACTAGCAGCCATTCACTCCGCTTCTATGTTGTTGAGAATCTACTTGGAGGGTTTTTGCGATGTCGCCTAGTAACATGATAGTGGTGACATACTGATATCATCTCGTGCAGTTTCTGATTCAACAATAAGAATCAGAACTCTTGAATCCTTTGTATGATTTTGTTAATGATAACAGATCTGCGATAACATTGGCAGGTGTTCGATTATTCTCTTGTAATTTATCGGCATTAAAAAGCAGACTTCGTGTATGGCAGAAATTATGCCGCTGAAGCTTCTCGCTTTACGTTTGTTTTGTATTTGATCTCACCAGTCCAGCTAAACCGGACAACGGTCCGTTCTGCGACCTTGTTTTCCCAGTTTGCAAAATCTTACTGTTTCAATTCCCTTGTAGGACTTATACATCGGAGCAAATGTTGAGTTCCACAAATACAAGTTTATCCTGATTGACGCAGATGAATATGCTGTGGATTATATGGAGAAACACTCGGCTGAGTTCCCTCAGGCCAACGTTCATTTTATTCTTCCAAAACTGAAGCAGATCCTTGAACAGAAGTACGAAGAAATCAAATCTGAATTCCAGGAACACGATCCAAACAATTCTGGCAAAATACGCGCTAGCAGTTTCAGGTAAATAGTCTTTTGAAATAGCCAATATGAAATTTGTTGTGAACCTTTGATCCTAGAGCCTGGAGTTGGAGGGGAGTACTCAAATATGAAAATGTTGGGGATGCCTGTCATCTCGCTTTGGGATATAAATCAAGGATTCTGGTCTCGCTAAGGGTGTTCATGACAAAACACCATTTTTAGTGGTCAAAGTATCTTTTAGGCTCTCTTAAGTCCACTCAACAAGCGTGGGCTCCCTTCCTGAACAGTGGCTGATAATTGAGCCTATTTCACTGTAAGTGGTATCTTTAAGGGGTCAAATAAAGATTGAGCCACATGCAGATTAGTCTCTTTTAGGGGTTTGATTCAAAATTTCCAACGAGCATCTCCGACCTTTTCATATAGGAGCCCACTCCGGGTCCAACAGTCTTTGCCTTATTCTGGGCAGTGGCAGAAGGGAGAAGGTTGCTTCAATGTGCTTGTGAATTTGGGAAGCTGTAAACACAAGGAAGGAGCCTATATATGTGTGACTTTCGAGTATAAATGATTTTTGCTTCGAAAGAAGTTGAAGTGTCGTAGTTTCTGTAATGTTTAAAAGGCGTACTTTTGCTTTACAGGGAAATCCTAGACAAGTTTGGACGAGGTCTGCTGACTGTGCATGAACAGCTTACAGTGTCTAGATACTTTGGAGATTATAAGGTAAACATCACTAACAGCACTCAAGAAATGTTGTATGATAAAGTGTTAGGGAGCTTAGGCAAACCACTATCAAATCTTTTCGAGTTGATCACTGGCGTGACATATTTAGTTTGAGCAAGTTAGACCGATCGGCGGGCTGAACAGATCTAACTTATTGTGAAATTCAAAGGTAAAATACAAATCCCTGACTTTTGCGAGGCGTCACCATCGTCACTGCTTAAGGTCCCTATTTACCACTGAGGCACTTGCGTGGGACTTGAGAGTTCTGGCTCTTTGATCAGGCTCTAGGTACTTGCCGTCAAATATGTTCTCCTATGGCCCTCTCGCTTTATCATTTAATTTGCAGCTACTTGTGTTGTCAGGTTGTAGTTGACAAAGCTCACTATGTTATCACTTATCAGCGATATGCCAGGTCGTTTTTGTCTGATGAAGGCTTATGCCTTCAGTCGTTTGGCATGAACTGTAGTGAAAGGAATTAAATATACCTAATTAAGGGAATTTTTTCCAGCCTTACCTTTTCAAGGTTTGTTGATTTTTAGCATCGTTAGTCGTCAACTGATTTATTATCGTTTGCTGAATATTGTTCCAAAAATCAAACCGATATTATTAAGTGTTCCATATGTTCTATGTCGAGAGTCTCGGAGTCACATTAAGAGACCGCAATGTGAGTTTTGCTTTAGATTGACTCCTGATCCACTTTTCAGGAAGAAGAAGATGATCTTCAGATGTTAGTGGTGGCTATTCAGGAACAACTGAGGAAAGCTAACTTTGAGGACTTCTCCAACATGATGGACTCTTGCAGACACGAAGATGTGCTCGGGTAAGGTTATTCTATCCTTACTTTCCTCGAGGGCAGACCTGCCAGGATATTTTTGGAGATTTCTGCCTACAGCTGTATGACAATAGGGAGTATAAGAAAACCCCAATGTCAGCGCCAGCGGGAAAGTCACTAAGCAAAATATTTAAAGTGCCTATGAAGTGAAAAATAATTGCTGCATATTTGAAAGGCTTTTCAAAGTAAAGAAGAATGGCGTTTTCCTTTTTGGATATCTTTTTTCGTTTTAGAGATATTTACGTTTGCAAGTTGTAAGATTTCTCCGAACCGTATTCTCATGAGTATAGCTCATGCTACTTAGCAGTGTCTATGAACGTAAAGTTTGCAAGCTTATTAAGTTCTCCGTTAGTGGTAATTAAGTACTTGAAGGCGTGGCTGACCTGGAGGCAGTAGTCATTCACGTTCTAAGGAGAAGGTTTCTCGGGATAAAAAATCTCAACATTTGCAATGTTGTTTTACTTCTTTAGCACTGGATACCTTCCTCTGCAAGAACTCCACAACACTTGTAAACGGTTCAATGTGCCTGCCAAGCACGACTTACTAGAGGCCGTCTTACAAAAGGTTGAACGAAACGACAGGAACGAGGCAAACTACGAACAGTTTCTACAACTTCTTAACTGGAGGGACTCGCCAGGTGAGTCTTCACGGGACAGGAGTGGGGAGGTTACGGATTCATGGAGGGAGGGGACGGTCGTGTACTGTAAATGGCCTAGTAATGGCAAGTTGCAGCGGTTTCAGTTTGCGTTTATTTAGCTTTTTCGTCGGTTGAAATATCAAATTGTTTATTGTCAATAATAAACTTGCCCCCCTTTTTTCCTTGACAGTTACAACCCAGAAGTTCGTGCCGGCTGCAGCTCCAGATCCGAAATCTACGGTAATTTGATATGCTTACTTTATAGTAATAAGCGAAGACTAGCGATAATGGAGGGTCGGGAGGGACAGAAGATTGTTCCTTCGAGTGACAACTTGCAGCAATCCGGCTTTCCTTTCACAGATATCTGCAGCAATGTTAAACTTACGCCCTAATTTGTACTTATATTTGTATATTTCATTCCCTTTTTCTACAACTTGAACATGATCTCAGGGAGATCGAAACGTCGTTTTTTTATCGCTTGTTTTTATTCTAAGATGTGTTTCGGAAAAACTTCTTATAAGAATGTTAAACTTTCTTTGCTTAATTTTAATTTCTCTTTGTAGATCAGGTTAATCAGGGTTGTAATTTAACTGTAGAGTATTTCACTTGCTATCGGAAATGGTTTTTAATGTGTAGGGCAAAATCTAATGAATCTAGAGGATGAAAGTGCAACGACCATTTCGAATTACAAGGAATAAATTATACGTTTTTTAAGAGACTGTTTTGTAATATTTCTCTGTTATCCTTTATGTTTCAGCAGCGAATTGGTCCGCAGGAGTTTGTTCGGTTAGTAAGTTACAAGGATCTTTTACAAAGTCTTCTTGAAGTGGATTGAACTTGGATCAAAGACGATTCTTACCTGAGTTTATATTGCAATGGTGCAACTTCTTTACAAGTCCAAGAGTGCTATAAGCCTTAGAAATGGAGACACTATAATTGAACAGACTTGTAGAAAAAGACGCGTACGGCAAGATTCCTGGATTTTACTGTAAATAAGTCTGTTAATATTGTTAAAAATGGAGTTTTGTCCTTTGTAAGAAATAAAACTGAATTTAAAAAAAAAACATTTGCCACTGCTGTTCGTATGCTTGTTTATTTAACCGACTCACAGTCTACAGTGTCAAACGTTTCGACCTACATATACATTGATTATTAACAAAACAAAATGGTAAAGGTACACAGTAACCAGCCCCATACAGCGGTCCATAGAGCGAACATCTGTATCAACCTACCAGCCTCTCTCTCAAAGGAGAGAGAACCTGGGGTCGAGTTTGCATCTGTACTTGCATTAGTACTTGTGGGTATCGTGTCCAGAATGCTACAGTTCTTTGTATTCAATCTATACAACTTCATATTATCGGGACTACGCTATTACAGGTAAGTAAACCTTTTGTCGATGGTTAAGATTTTTTATGCTAACAAGATCGATCTGTTGGTTGATAGAGTACCCACTCGCTCACACAATCAATGAATCAATCAACCAACCAACCAACCAACCAACCAATCAATCACTAAATCACTATTCACTCAATATTCAATAAATCAACAAACACATTGGTCCAAGTTAATGAGGGGGATGGGTGATTTGAAAAAAAAAAATTCTGCAGGCATACTTCTACCACGAAAAATAAACATGACCATTGCCGAAAAAAAATTCATGCACGTTAAGTGAGTCGAAAATAGCGTGTTATACGGAGAAAAAATTAAATGCATACAGACGACTCGAGAAATAAAAAATCCTAATTCATGAAGGTGATAAACTATTCGTGCCGGTACCAAATCACCCACACGCCCTCAAACGTCAAATGGTCCACCCCTAAGAAAGGTGGTGTTCGGTACATTTTCGTAGGAGCGAACTGCTTCCTTTGTCGTCTGTTATGTTAAGACCGAACCTTTGATAACGATAGTCTCTTATGCCAGTTGTTACAGTGTTTAGTTTTGGCAGAAGTATTTATTTGAGGAAGACTTTTCTTTTTTGAGTGTTTTCGCAATGAATGCCATAAATTTTTACCGGAATGGTAACTTTTTCAACATGTTAAAATCATTCATCAAATTCATCTAACAATTCACTGTAAGCAAACGAGCAAGAAAGTAACGTTTTTAATTAAGGCCAAGTTTAAAAAAAAAGCAAATATTTCTCGTCCCCACTCGCTTCATTTTTTGGGACCGCCTCTCTTTTTTTCTTATTTGTTATTAGTAACGTTTGTACAAACAAAAACCAACGTACAAGCGTTACTTTTACTTTGTATCCAGTTCTCCTCAATTGAGTACAAAGAAAACTCTAAACATAAAAGAGATGGTTTTTGTCTGCGTTTTAATTCGAATTCAGGCTAAAATTTTAAAGCCTTGGTACGCTAGGTCCATAGTGGATAGGTTAATTACCTTGCAGGATTTATTTTGCAAGTTCGCTGGTAAAGGATGCAAATAGCTTTGTATTATAAAAATATTTTGTCGTGAAATATTTATAAGATCCACAACATGTTTCGACGGTACATCCGTCATCGTCAGTGTGACGGTTATGAAAGTTTACAGTGATTTAAAACGTGCCTGTTACAAATCATACGTTACATTGCG